AAAATTAGCTGAGCGTGGTGGCATGTACGTGTGGTGAACACTACATGGGAGGCTAAAGTGTGAGGATTCTTTGAGCCCAGGAGATCAATGATGCAGTGAGCAGTGAGCACACCTCCACACTCCAACTTGAATGGCATAGGGAGATGCTGTTTCGTTTATAAATAAATAAATAAAAATAAAAACTTGGAAATGATGTCAGAAACCCAGAGACCTACAAAGAAGCATTTCATCCCCAAGCGTTTTATCACAAATAGTAAAACACTGACATTAGTGACAAATTTATTAGCAAGTTGTGTGCATCTAAATTTCAACATCTCTACGTTAGCCTGTAGCACCATTCTCTCTCAGAGGGACCCCTAGGATAGCCTGCCTGCCCTTCTTTTCCTCCATCCATAGCCATCCGAGTAGTAAGAAACAGCTCGGAAAATGTAAATTAAATTATGCCATTCCTCTGATACCTCAAAGTAAAATCCCTAGTTTTCACCATGGCCCTACAAGGTCCAATATATACCTCAATCTTGTTTCCCATCATAATTTCCCTAACACTGATTCTCTCCAGCCACGTTGTTTTTCCCCTGTTCCTTGAATCCCTAAAGCTTATTCCTACCACTTTGAGCATGATCCCATGGCCTGGAATTCTCTTCCTTCAGGTGTTCACACCATTCTCTCGTCTGCTTCATCTGGCCTCTACTCAAATTAGGACTCTGCTAACGTCTCCAGAGAGGACTCCCAAGAGGACTACACTGACCACCCTACTTGAAACAGAAGTCCCCAACACAAATCACTGTCTGATTTCAGGCTATGCTTTTTACTTTATGGCATTTATCACTGTCTGAAAATTTATGTATGTATATGTGTCTGCACACACATGTATACATGTGTGGATACGTACATATGGTGATTATATACATCACATGATGCATACATATGGTGATATATATGGTGATATATATACTTGTATATGTATTTACATATACATATATACACATATATAGTATACACACACGCATACACACATACAAATATACATAGTTATATATATATACACACACATATATAGTATACATACACAGGCACACACACATACAAATATACATAGTTATATATATATACACACACATATATAGTATACACACATACACACACACACACATACAAATATACATAGTTATATATATATATCACACATATATAGTATACAAACACAGGCACACACACATACAAATATACATAGTTATATATATATACACACACATATATAGTATACACACACACGCACACACACATACAAATATACATAGTTATATATATATACACACATATATAGTATACACACACAGGCACACACACATACAAATATACATAGTTATATATATATACACACACATATATAGTATACACACACAGGCACACACACATACAAATATACATAGTTATATATATATACACACACATATATAGTATACACACACAGGCACACACACATACAAATATACATAGTTATATATATATATACACACAAATATATAGTATACACACACAGGCACACACACATACAAATATACATAGTTATATATATATATACACACATATATAGTATACACACACAGGCACACACACATACAAATATACATAGTTATATATATATATACACACACATATATAGTATACACACACATGCACACACACATACAAATATAGTTATATATATATACACACACATATATAGTATACACACACACGCACACACACATACAAATATACATAGTTATATATATATATACACACACATATTTAGTATACACACACACGCACACACACATACAAATATACATAGTTATATATATATATACACACATATATAGTATACACACACAGGCACACACACATACAAATATACATAGTTATATATATATACACACACATATATAGTATACACACACATGCACACACACATACAAATATAGTTATATATATATATACACACATATATAGTATACACACACATGCACACACACATACAAATATACATAGTTATATATATATATACACACACATATATAGTATACACACACACAGGCACACACACAAATATACATAGTTATATATATATATACACACATATATACTATACACACACGCACACACACATACAAATATACATAGTTATATATATAGCCTGCAGTCTAAGCCCTTTCCTAACTGACTAGTTCACTCTAGTGGAGGTGAAGATAAACCAAGCCCCATCCGTGGTATTTTAACAGCCAATGATTTTCTCTACCCAAAATGTTTTTTTGCTTTTTTATGAGCCCTTCCCTTAGTATCTCCACACTAAATCATATCAACTTACTCACAGTTGTCTGTGAACAGAAAGGAGGAAATTGTATAAACAGATTTGTATTAACAGCATATGTAACCATTCTTCAAAAATCTTAGTTTTGCCTCACCTTTTTAATTTTCAATGACTTTGACCTAAATATAATCAAGAGTGCTTTTTCATAAAACTTTGGAATAACACCCATCCTTACATGTCAACACATATAGTGACGTCAAAGGCCTAACCAACTGCCTCCATGAAGACGAAATCTTTTAGATCCTTATTTATTATTATTATTATTATTATACTTTAAGTTCTGGGGTACATGTACAGATCATGCAGGTTTGTTACATTGGTATATATGTGCCATAGTGGTGGTGTGCTGCATCCATCGCCCCGTCATCTACATTAGGTATTTCTTCTAATGCTATCCCTCCCCAGTCCCCTCACCCCCTGTTATTCCTCCCCTAGCCTCCCACCCTGCAGGCCTCGGTGTGTGATGTTTCCCTTTCTGTGTCCTTATTAAAATTGTATCACATGATTAATGCTAAAAGACTAAAGTCTGTTTTCAAGCAGTTTTCTGATGTCATACTAGTGCTTCATTACAACTTTCTGAAGTCACCTTTAGGCCGACGTAACACAGAGTGACTCCATCTCATAAAGCTGAAATTCATACCAAGAGTGAAAGGTCATCCACAGGCAAACTGCAGCATATTTCACTGAAAAATTCGAGGACGATTTCAGCCTCTCAATTTCCAAGAATAGTAAGGCTATTTCCAAGCTACTGACAGATTTTAAATTGCCATACCTTTTGTTGCGGCCATCTCTCATTTTTTCGTAATTCAAGAAATAGGTTTGTCAATGTCCTGAGTTTCTAGCGTGTTATTAAAAGTTATATATTTCTGCTAATATGTTATTATCTTCATTCCCTTAAGTTCATCAGTCAAGTGGTCACAAGATCATGATTAGATTGTCTGTTACAGTGCCTTACTTATAGAAACTATGCAATAAATATTGGAGTAAAGGAAGTAATAAATGATTAAAATGTTAAGTATACAAATATATTAGTAATCTCAAATACGTCTTCCTCAAATGTGTTGCAAATAAGCTTCATCCTCTTTAGTGAGAGAAGGTTAATAAAATCAGACTGTTAAGAAATAAAAGGCGTAGTGGGGATCTGATCAATTTTCTTGAAAGGTGTAACACTTGAGAATGCTTGAAAAATAATTTATTTGTTGATGTTGTTGTTGCTGAGACAGGGGCTCCCTCTGTTACCCAGAATGGAGTTCAGTGGCGTGATCATAACTCACTACAGCCTCCAATTACTGGGCTCAACCATCCTCCCACCTCAGCTTCTCAAATCCTGGGATTACAGGGTGTCCCACCATGCTTGACTAAATTTTTTAACTTTTGACTTTTTGTAGAGATGGGGTATTGCTGTATTTCCCAGGCTGATCTCAAACTCCTGGCCCCAAGCAATCTTCCTATCTTGGTCTCCAAAAGTGGTAGGATTACACAGTATCTAAGCTTGAAGCACAATTTCTAACACTTTATCATTTATTCTGCTTTACAGTGCTTTTATGTTTATATTAAAATATATGAGAAGTGATCGAGTAAGAGATAATTCATGGTCTATAATTTCTACAAACAAGTTAGCAACGATGCGAAGCAAAACAAACACATCCAGGAGGATTCCACTATCAAATCTATAAATGCCACATGAATGGATTTAGGAAATAAAGAAAAATGGACAAAATGAGGGAAAATAGCAGAGAACTGGTGAAACTATCAGACCAGGAATTCTATACACACTGTGTGTCTGGGTTGTGTGTGTGTGTGTGTGTGTGCGTGTGTGTGTGTGTGTGTGTGTGTGTGTGTTTGCTACTGGCCTGTTTTCCATGTGGTGTTTGTGGGGTGGAGGAGTGTCCATTGTTTGGCATCAACTGGAATTACAAGGAGGTTTCCTCATCAATTCTGAGAACAGAGATAAACATTCCTGATATCATAGTAAAACACTGATGTAATAAATAAACAAGCTGAAACCAATCATATAACCTGAAATATTAAGCATGCAGGTAAGGCAGGGAATGGTTGAGTTGTAATCCCAGCACTTTGGGAGGCTGAGGCGGGTAGAGTACCTGAGGTCAGGAGTTCAAGACCAACCTGGTCAACATGGCAAAACCCTATCTCTACTAAAAATACACACACAAAAAAAATTAGCTGGGCATGGTGGTGGGCACCGGTAATTCCAGCTACTTGGGAGGCTGAGTTAAAAGAATTGCTAGAACCCTTGGGGAGTGAGCGAAGATAGCACCATTTTACTTCAGTCTGGGCAACAGAGCAAGACTCTGTTTCTAGAAGAAGAAAAAAAGAAGAAGAAGAAAAATACATACATGCAAATAGGAATTAGTTAAGCACAAATCTGAATCTTTCTGCAGGCAAGTCAACCCCGGAAGCTCAGCTATCTCATCTGTAAAATACGGGTAACACCCATTCCACAGGTTGGTTATGAGGAAAACATGAAGCATTTGGCCATGTATGGAATACAGTTTCTTAATCAATCGTGATTTGTTATTGCTGTTTCTTGTTATTATTCTTGTTTCTACAGTTGGTATTATTATATCTTGGCCCATTTCTGAGCATATATCCTACAACTGAATGATTGCTTAAAAAGAGAACTTACCCACAAAGAGTTGACTGTTGAGCTGTAAGAGGACGTGGCCATCTGCTGGGGCGGGCTGTGTCTCTGGTGTGAGCTGATCCACTTGAATGGATGCCTCCTTCATGTTCCTTTCAACTCTCACATGGTGCCACTGGTTGTCGTTGAAGTGGGTGGGTGACTGCACTGAGATTTCAAAAGGCCCATTCCCCACATCAAATGAAAAAGTCACTACTGTTGGAGCTGGAAATATGACACATAAAGATTGCTCAAGTGAGTTCATGTGGTAGAGTGCTGAGTCTCCAATATACAGTACTTAGGAATAGCACCAGAGCATAGCAATCACTAAATAGAAAGGTAACAAACACAGCATGGTTGGAATGCTATTGTTTGAAACTCATGACACTGGCACAGAACTAGGTCTTCTGATGTGACATGAGACAGTTAAGTACATTCATATTTTTGAAAAAAATCAATGATATTCTAAGATATTTCTCCTCAGAGTTAAGTTTGGCTATTGATGAGAAGTAAAGCTATTTGTCCAAAGCAAGAAAGCTAATAGCAACTGGCATTGTATGTAAAAATAATTGTTACAGTGATTGAAAGTTTATATAATCCCAAAGGCATGCTATACATATTTGATATTCAGATAATAGCAGCTTAGGAGTATATCAAAATGAGTGGTTGATTTAAGTAATTTTTAATTGACTAAAAAAATACTTTTTAGTTTTAATTAACTGAAATTAAAACTGCTTTTAAATTGTTATAAGAAACTACCAATTACTTTCCCAAATTATCACATGTTAAATATCACATTATATTCTTACAAAAAGGATAATTTAATATCATTGAGTTTTTTTCAAAGGGGCACAATGAAAAGAGTCAGATGATAAAGTAGACATATGAGTAGTTTAAAAATCAGTTAAAAGATTTACTACTAAATGATACAATCTCATACACTTCTCTGGAAAAGGAGACTTACAGCGAAGCTCTATTCGTATAAAATCAGTAATCTCCAAGTTCTCTAAAAATACCCCAGATGGAGCTGTTGTCTTAAAAAAGAAAGACACATCAGCGCTAAGTTCTCCGTGAAAAGTAGGAAAATGAAGATATGAAGCCTCAGTATCAGAGGAAGCTGAATTCCAAAATGATCCTGCTTTGTGGGGGAAAAAGAGAAGAAAAAGGATTCAAAAAGAAAACAAATTCAAAAATAAAATGAATGCAATTACATTTTCTCTTTTTAGCATTTTTGCTATTAAAAATCTGACTTATTTATACAAATCTACTTCTTTTTTCTATCAACTATGTAGTATACAAGACATAAGCATAAGAGATTTTACAGGGATTAACGTCCTAGATTTTTTTCCAATAGAGAGTAAGAATGATTATTACAGAAATGGCCTGAATGTTATCTTTTATATGGGACAAATATCCTCAGCCTCAGTACTATATCCTTCACTAAACTGATATTATACAACCTGCCAAATATTGATAAATAGACAATCTTTTATAACTTAAAAATTTAAACACGTACTTGTTTCAAACAAAAACCCTCAAGAAGCTTACAGTATTTTTTATTCTAACACTTCTAATACACATACTTCACAGAGTTACATAAACGGTTTTCCTTAATGGGCCTTGTGATTGTCTAAACTGAGACTGGCATTCTAAATAGTCTTGTCTAATTATAAACCAACATACAACTTACTCTGTCCAAGCTGACATTCTCATGAAAATGCTCTTTTTATTCAAAATTATCTCTTACTTTGCCAATAAGAATGTCCCTGCAAAGTGGATGTCCTTTGCAGGGACATGGATGAAGCTGGAAACCATCATTCTCAGTAAACTCACACAAGAACAGAAAACCAAATACCACATGTTCTCACTCCTAAGTGAGTACTGAACGATGAGAACACATGGACACTGGGAGGGGAACATCACACACCAGGGCCTGTCAGGGGGGCGGGTGGTAGGGGACTAGGGGAGGAATAGCAGGGAATGGGGGGATTGGGGAGGGCTAACATTAGGAGAAATACCTAAGGAAGATGATGGGGATAGATGCAGCAAACCACCATGGCACGTGTATACCTGTGTAACAAACCTGCATGTTCTGCACATGTACCCCAGAACTTAAAGTATAATTTTAAAAAAAGAATGAAGTGGATAAATGGCAAATGAGAAGTGTTCTCAAAATGTTTACAGAGGCTCCAAATAGGCAGAAAGTGTTCAAAAGGTTGGGATATAAATTAAAAGATCTGAAAAAAAATGTAGACTATAAAGTCAATTATCATTGCTGCCCAAATACAATTTATCTTCACTTTCTCACTCTTTTTTTGTTATCTACAACTTTCCTTTGGAAAAAATACTGTGAACCACATATGGCAAAAAATATGGAAAACAAAATAAAAATGCAACAACATGAGCTGACAGCAGCGAAATCTGACTGGAGACGTGTGGTTGATGAGAAGTATTATCAGAGAAACAAACTCCGCATTGTCTGCTGCCACTCGCAAGTTCTGTGTACATCAAATACTGTACATCTTACTTTTGGGGGGGTGGAGGGACAGTCTTGCTCTGTCACCAGGAACAGGCTGGAGTACAGTGGTGCAATCTCAGCTCACTGCAACCTCCGCCTCCCAGGTTCAAGCAATTCTCCTGCCTCAGCCTCCCAAGTAGCTGGGACTACAGGCACGCGCCACCATGCCCAGCTAATTTTTATATTTTTAGTAGAGACGGGGTTTCACCACGTTGGCCAGGATGGTCTCCATCAATTGACCTCGTGATCCGCCCGCCTCGGCCTCCCAAAATGCAGGGATTATAGGTGTGAACCACCGCGCCGGGCCCTACATCTTTAGTTTTAAGCAACTGCCACTGCTCACATTCCCAACACTCGATAAAATTCTACCTAAATTGCTTTCCTGGAAGAAAGATGTATTGATCTTCTGAAGTTGGAAAACAGGAATTTCAAAACAGTATGTTAGCAGAGAACAGATATGCAGCTACATAGTTAAAAATGACAAACTTGATGTGTTTTTTAAGTTTTAATTTACTTTGTATAAATTATAGATCAAGTAACGCTTATGTCTATTTTTGTTTGTTTTTCTTGTGGACCTGATTCAGAAGTCAATTCTCGGCTTGTGTGTGGACAATTTGAGAATTGAATTTATTTAACTGTGAATCTACTTTGAAGTTGTTCCTCCCAGGGTCAAATGAAACCATATATTATCAGGGTCACATCAAGCCTGTTCCTTTTGTCCCTTTTACAGCTGTTCGATACTAGACATTTGGATTTCTAGGAAACAAAAACAAAAACAAAAACAAAAAAAACCGCAAGAAAATGTAAAGTATCAAGTTAAGGATAGCAACACATTTGTGTTCTTAGAAGTGCTTAGCAAACCTGTTTTCAGAAGGAATTATATGCCTTTCTGTTGAAATGTTGTATATTAAAATAAAAATAAACTTCACATTATGGAACATTATTAAATCTTATTTTGTTTGATTAGAAAGAGGGATATTCAAAATTCCTTAAAGGTTTAAATATTATGATATGATATTTCTTTTTTTTCACATTATATCATCACTAACTCAATAGAGCATTGTATAAATGGCTTCAGGGAACTGGTTGAACCAGACAAACAATTCTTTGAATTGCTGCTATCGGTACATGAATGCTTTTATAGCAATGGAACCAATTTATTACTTTAGGCATCTTCAGCACTCTCATACACATAATAACATCTATTTCATTTAGTTAGGAGACCTTATTTTACACATTCACAAAAGGGAGAAAATGAGGTAAGGAAATTTTACTGGGTTAAGAAATTGCTGCTAATTCAAAATAATTACAAAGAAAGCAAAGACTAATATTTCCATGATCAAATTACGTTAATAGCATGTGGTACCCCAGCCCTTTACACAATGTGCTAAGAGACAGCCATCAGGTTCTGGGCCACCTCAGAGAAAGCAGGGTCAAAGAGAGGGAGGAAACAGGGCTCAGCAGGCAGGCAGCAGCAGGAGCGGCAGGCTTTTGGAAGACAGCAGTCTGTGGATTAGGTGATTTAAAATTCTCTAATCTCATGGAGGGAGGGAGGAAAATGATAGTCACCAGAGGCAGGAAATAACGTAGAAGGAAAAGAGGAAGAGGGACTGGACAATGAATAAAAAATTCCAGTTAGATAGAAGGAATAAGCTTAACGTTCAATAGCAGACTGGGGTGATTACAGTTAACATCACAGCGTGTATTTCAAAATAGCTAGGAGAAAGGATTCGAAATATATTCGACTCACAGAAATGATAAATGTTCAAGGTGATAGATATCCTAAATCCCCTGGCTTGATCATTACACATTCTATGCATGCAAAAAAATACTGTAACACACACCCCATAAATATGCATAAGTATTATGTATCTATAAAAATTGTTTAAATAAATAATCATTAAAAATCATAAAAAACTAAGCTGTATCATTATCAATTCAATACAGGGTACTAGAGATTTAAGAATAATTTTTTAGGCCAGGCATGCTGGCTCATGTCTGTAATCTCAGCACTTTGGGAGGCCAAGGTAGGCAGATCACTTGAGGTCAGGAGTTCAAGACCACTCTGGCCAACATGGTGAAACCCTATCTCTACTAAAAATGTAAAAATTAGCCAGGTGTTGTGGCAGACACCTGTAACCCCAACTACTTAGGAGGCTGAGGCAGGAGAATCATTTGAGCCTGGGAGGCTGAGGTTGCAGTGAGCCAAGATTATACCACTGCACTCCACCCTGCATGAGAGAATGAGATTCTGCCTCCAAAGAAAAAAGAAAAAAAGAATAACGAGTAGCTGGTACCAATCATTCTGAAACTATTCCAAACAATCCAAACAGAGGGAATCCTCCCCAACTCATTGTATGAGACCAACATATTCCTGATACCAAAACTCGGCAGAGACACAACAAAAAAAGAAAACTTCAGGCCAATCTCCATGATGAACATAGATGCAAAAATCTTCAATAAAATACTGGCAAACTGATTGCAACAGCAAATCAAAAAGCTTATCCATCATGATCAAGTAAGCTTCATCCCAGGGATGCAAGGTTGGTTTGACATACACAAGTCCATAAACGTAATCCACCACATAAACAGAACCAAAGACAAAACCACATGATTATCTCAATAGATGCAGAGAAGGCCTTCGGCAAAATTCAGCAGCCCTTTATACTAAAAACTCTCAATAAACTAGGTATCAGTGGAACCTATCACAAAATAATGGAAGCTATTTATAACAAACCCACTGCCAATATCACACTGAATGGACAAAAACTGGAAGCATTCCCTTTGAAATCTGGCACTAGACAAAGATGCTCTCTCTCTCTCCACTCCTATTCAATATAGTATTGGAAGTTTTAGCCAGAGTAATCAGGCAAGAAAAAGAAATAAAAGGTATTCAACTAGGAAAGAAGGAAGTCATTTTGTCTCTATTTGCAGATGACATGATTGTATATTTGGAAGAGCCCATTGTCTCAGCCCAAACTCTCCTTAAGCTTATAAGCAACTTCAGCAAAGTCTCAGGATACAAAATCAATGTGCAGAAATAAAAAACATTCCTATACACAAATGACAGACAAACAGAGAACCAAATCAAGAGTGAACTCTCATTCACAATTGCTACAAGAATAATAAAATACCTAGGAATACACGTAACAAAGAAGGTAAAGGACCTCTTCAAGAAGAACTACAAACCACTGCTCGAAGAAATAAGAGAGGACACAAACAGATGGAAAAACATTCCATGCTCATGGTTAGGAAGAATCAATATGGTGAAAATTGCCATACTGCCCAAAGTAACTTATATATTTAATGCTATCCCCATCAAACTACCAATGACCTTCTTCACAGAATGGAAAAAAAAAAAAAACACTTTAAACTTTATATAGAACCAAAAAAGAGCCCTCATAGCCAAGACAACCCTAAGCAAAAAGAACAAAGCTGGCAGCATCACATTGCCTGACTTCAAACTATACTACAAGACAACAGTAATCAAAACAGCATGCTGCTGGTATCAAAATAGAGACACAGACCAATGGAACAGAACAGAGACCTCTGGAGCAACACCACACATCTACAACCATCTGATCTTTGACAAACCTCACAAAAACAAGCAATGGGGA